ACGAGAGATCGAAGCCAAAAAGGACCTCGATGGGCTGACAACAAATTCCCTAAAATCCTTCGCTCATTGTTTGAGGGTGGCAAAAAAGCAATGTCCGTACTGTACGTCATCAAGTGTGCCTTTATAGATTTTGACAAACACATCTCGAATAGTTTCGGAACATTCGAGTGGTTGCACTTGGAATACTGCGTACAAGCCTGGAGACCATGAGCGTTCCAAGATCAAAATTGCCTCGAAAAAGCTCAGAGGAGAGCAACGAAGATAGTAATTATTCAAAACTCCTTTCCTTATGCAACCCGCCTAGTAAATCCGAATCTCTCCCCTTTGAGTTACAGACAACTAGGTGGGAATCTCTTGCAAGTATTCCGCATAGTGAGGGGGTTAGATCGAGGACTTTTTGAATTTGCTACCACGACCAACGTCCAAGGTCACCCGTTTAAACTGCACACTCAGCAGTCAAGACTGGGTGTGCGAAAGTTCTTCTTTTCTGCCGAAGTGGTAAAACCATGGAATACACTCCCTGTGGATGTTGATGTGTCACCACAGATACAAAGCCTTAAAAGGAAACTTGATATGTTTATGTTTCGGAATGACCAAGAGCGACGGGAGATCGAGCTCATCCCCTGAAGCTCGCTTCCATTTTGGTTCACCATTAAGGGTCGGTTGGAATTATTTCAGCCTAGACAATGTCTCTGTACATCGTGGCCAATGTAACTTTGCTAATAGGGTATTAATGGCTCAGGCCTAATTTCCCCAATAAACTTAACTGAACTCAGCCTGGTTCATCTATGGAAACCTAAGTCCAGGACCGGGAATATACATGATTTTAAACACAAACGCCACATTGCATAGTCATTTACACAGATACTATTTTTTTCTTCTTGCTATCTTGCATGTAGGGTGAAGGAGTGCCCAGTGGCGTGTCCACATGACGGTCGTAGTAGGTCTTTCGCTTGCTTGCAGGTGTAGACTACGACTAACGTCCATTTGCTGGCGCCCAACTCTCACCTCTAGTTTCCCGAAGCTAGGCTCTACCTAGCAGCCACACCTCAGTAACCGCTTCGACCGGCGGGCAAACCAGGCGATGGGGTCTGTAGGTGCGTCTCTGTACGCGGTAATCTCGGTTCCGTTGGCCGGCACTGGCATCTACCTGATGAGGCTCCATCTGAAACACCGTAGGAGGCCACAAGGTAAGTGAACTTTGCTCTGCTGCCTTTGCTTTCGCTTGCTCTTGTCAGCTTGCTTTCTGTCTGCAAGTATGGATTTGTCCTTATTAAAAACTAAATTCCGTTCTGTTGAATTGTTCTGCTTAGCGTTTATATTTCGACAGCCATTTAGCTTAGAGGGTGACAGGAAGCTTTGCATCCCGTTAGTCTACCCTACCTTACCCTCCCCACGCACTTCAAGATTACGGCGATGTCGTAGGCTCTCCAGGCTAACTCGGGACGTTCTTCCACTACTCCAAGGACGTGGCCCATAGTGCAGTTCGGCAGCGCTGACACAACTGAGCAGCCCTATTTAGAGAGGTCATTGCTAACTCCCGCAATGGGGAAGAGGCTAGAAAAGCTGCCCTAAACAAATGCTGGGATACACGTCGACCGCACGCTCACCGTGGCCCGCAGACGCAAAACACACGGCCGAAACAACCAAACGACAGACAACACACACTCTCTCCCCCCTCATCCCCACCGCACCCTTCGTCAGGCTGGTAGGGTGAGTCCGCTCACTTTGCAGCCTGGAATGTTCGTACCCTTTTAGACAATCTGAGGAACGACCGACCGGAACGGAGCACAGCGCTAGTAGTTCGAGAACTGCCGTGCTACAAGGTTGACATCACTGCACTCAGCCAGACCCAATTCTCAGAATAAGGCCAATTGGAGGAGGTGGGTGCCGGCTACAACTTCTTCTGGAGTGGTCGCCTGAGGGCAGAGTGATGTGATGCAGGTGTCGCATTTGCTATCCGGAACGACTTCGTGGGACGACTGCCCTGTCTGTCGCAGTGCACGAATGATCGCGTGATGAGCCTCCGCTTGCCTATCCGCGGAGGCAAATTCGCCACCATCATCAGCGTCTACGCCTCGCCCATGACCAGCCCTGACGCCGCCAGATATAAGTTGTACGAGGACCTATATGTCCTCCTGGCGACTGTGCTGAAAACGGACAAATCGATTATCCTTGGCGACTTCAACGCCCGCGTCGGCACAGATCATGCTGCCTGGAGAGGACTGCTGGGTCCCCATGGTCACAACGGCTTCAATGACAATGACATGCTCCTTCTCCGCACCTGCGCAGAACACCGACTCATCCTGAAGAACACCTTATTCCGCCTCCCGATGCGAGGGAAGGCCATCTGATTGCAACCTCGGTCGCAATATTGTCACCTGTTGGACTATGTCCTTGCCCGGAGACTAGACTGGTGGGATGTTCTGGTGACAAAGACGATTCTGGGTGATGACGGGTGGACCGACCATCGCCTCGTCATCTCCAAGACGCGGCTTCGCCTGCAGCCTTGCAGGAGACCTCAGGGCAATCGACCCCCAGCTAAGCTGAATGTTGCTCTGCTGTCTTGGCCTGCCACCATCTCCATTTTACCAACAAACTGGCTAAACGGCTAGACAACCTTCCAGTGTCTGCCGCCGCCGCCGACAGGGATGTGTGTCATGTTGATGTGGTTGGCAGACGCCATTACGGCAGACGTTGACGCAGTGGAGGAGGAGGGGAGGAAGATGAAGAGGAGGAGGAGGAGAAGAGGGAGGAGGATAAAATTGATGGTTCGGGAGGGCGGTCAGAATTAGTTGACGTTGTAGAAGGCATGGTAGATTGTTATGTATGCAAAACAGAAGGCTAATTGGAAATAGGACGTGTACTGAGTACGATAGACAGCACAAGTCAGGAGGCTTGTGGAAACGGCCGGGTATATGGCAAGGGGGACTGTCATAGGCTGATGGGTGGCCAATCAGCACAAAGACGGTGTGAACAGGGGGCCATGACCTTGATCGTTCGTTTGTCACGCGTTTGTGGCATGATGTCCTGACGGCCCGGGCAGGATACGCTGCATTCCTCCACCCTAAAGTGGAGAGCATGAGGGGGAGGGGAGGGGAACAGTATAGGTAATAGTGGATTGTCAGACAATGTTCTAATAAGATTCGTCCTGAAAGCGTTGGAAAGGTTTGCGGATTCGGGTCGATCTTCTCAGGGCGGTATTTTCTACCTCTGCGCCGCTTTGTGTAGTCACTGGCTCCTCTGCCCCTAAGCTAGTGCTGGCCGGGGTAGAAGGAGGTGGAACATAAGCCTCGGTGGATGGCGTAGTGCCCTGTGCAGGAAGTAGGGGCTCAGTCCTCGGGATGTCAGGATCCCTATCAAGGGTTGCTGGCAGTTCTAACTCTCCGAATTCTCCACTTACTGTGTCCGTTCGGCTACGAACTTGGTCCAGATGTCGACGCACAATTCTCCCACCTTCTAACTCTAATTCCACTATTTGACCCTCGCTTTTTCGAACTACCGCTGGACACCAGTTCGTTTCGTGTTCCAGTCGCGTGTAGACACTTTCGTTGGGCGCGACGACTCGTGGTCGGGTGCTCACATCATATCGTTCTTTCATCTTCGTCTGTTTTGCAATGACCCTATCCTGCGTTGATGGATTAAGCAGGTCGAGTCGTGTGCGCAACTGCCGCTTGAACATCAATTCTGCAGGCGAAGCACCCGTTGAGTCGTTTGGTGTTATGCGATAGCTGAACAGAAAGCGTGACAACTTGGTGGCCAAGTCAGCTTCTGTCTGTCTGGCTAGTCCGTGCTTTATTGTCTGGACTGCACGCTCTGCGAGGCCATTTGAAGCAGCGTGGTACGGGGCAGTAGTTAAATGTCTAATTCCATTTTTCTCCATGAAATCTTTAAATTCTGCACTAGTAAAGACCGGGCCATTGTCTGAAACGACCATTTCAGGTATCCCAAAAGTAGAAAAGACGGTTCGCAACTTGTTGATTGTAGTCAGTGAGAAACAAGAATTTCCTGTCGGAATCGCATCAATCCATTTAGTGTGGGCGTCAACTACCACCAAAACCATATGGCCTTGGAATGGCCCAAAATAATCGACGTGTACCCTCTTCCACGGCGAGTCGGGCCAGGCGCAAGGCTTCAGAGGAACCTTCGGTAAGGTCTTCTGTGTTATTTGGCACACGTGACATGCTTTCACCACGTTTTCTATATCTGTGTCAATTTTAGGCCACCAAACATAGCTGGGGGCGAGAGCTTTCATTCTAACTGTACCAGGATGAGCATTATGCAGGTCTATGAGGATGGCCTGTCGGCCTTGTGGTGGCACATCTACACGATTGCCCCATAGTATGCATCCGTCTTGTAGACTTAACTCGTTCTGACGGCTGAAAAGATAAGTGAAAGTTATATTTTTGGTTTCACTTTCTTAATCCCTTGCACAGTTTTCCAGTGTAGACCTGAAGAAATTTTCTATTTTTTGTCATAAGTCTTCTTCGCTTCCTGTCGTGTTTCTGCGATTTGTCATAAAGCAGAAATCTATTGTCGCAGTTTTTCACCCAACATAGCCTCAATCCTATCAAGTCTTACCTGCATAAACAAAAGGTTTTCCTCGTAAAAATATAGATTAACATTATATTTTAAACGATAAACCGCCTCCACTGACGGCTTTCATCGTCAGTTTATTTAGAATTATACTGTTATCTATTTTATCCTACATAGCCTCATTATCCAATTCAGATTTATTCATAGTTCTGTTTTACCACCTACGAAATTGTCATTTGCCCGTTTTTTTCTAGTTTGCATTCTGGTATTGAGTAAAACTTGCTTAGTATAAATTCTGCTGTCTGGTCCACCAATATTTGCAGCTTTCATAAATCGTTTCATCATACATAGCCTCATCCATATATCCTCGAAGTTTCGGCAGTTATCATCCATATAAATATTTGGACTTAAGTCTTGTATTGCGTTTTCGGCATGAAACCTCAAGCAACCCTTCGTCGAAATCTGAAGGAAACTAAACTTCATCTGAAACCCATTGTTCATATGAAAAAAATTGATCTAGGGGCGCTTGATGATTTTAACAACTTTATGTCTCGTTGCGGATCAATTTTTTCTGTCCTTGGTGCCCTTCTTGACGGAAATTTGCCAACGTTTACGTCTCAGCAGTGTGAGAAGCTCATGCCTCTCATTAACCTGGTTGCGACTGAGACTGAGGACAGGCACAAACGAAGTTTCAACTTTATATTAAAAAACGTTCCCAAGAGTAGACAGCCAATTGATGTCGCCTTTCAATTCCTTTTTTCATGCGGCTTCAACTTTAGGGTCGCGGAAGCCAAGAGGCTTTCATCTAGGAGCAAGAATCCACCCATTCTTGTCAAACTCTTTTCATCGATTGAAGTGGATTTTATTTTCTCCCATTTGGAGCGATCAACTCAATATCTCAGGGCAAATAAACTTTTTATTAGTCGAGACCAGACTCCACTGCAACGAAAAATGTCTCCCATATTACAAAACGTAAAGCCACCCCCGAATTCTACCCAAATGTCTTTTTCCTCTAAAGCAGTTTCTCCATCTGGTGTCGACCAAATCCCGCCACTATCTACAGCGGCCCCAGTTCCATCTAGCTCTTCGACTGATCACCTTATCACAGAGACGGTTAAAACTAGCCTCTTTAAAACTCCCCCACGGAGCAAGGATTGTTCAAATGCGGCTCCCAAATTTATAAGGGAGCTTGATCTTAGCAGTAAAGATGAGCTAGTCCTTGAAGCACAACCGGCTCCCAGCACTCAGAATAGTGATTTGTATTCAAAAACTGATAAGTCATCTTCCTAACTCTCACTCAGTAGGTACGGACAATATCGCAAACTCTTTGATAAAACAACTAAGAGATTTTCCTCCTCTGCTTAGCAAAATCTTTTCAGTATTTCTCGTAAATGGCTTCTTCCCTGACTATTGGAAAACTTCTATTATTATTCCAGTATTTAAGTCTGGCTGTCGTTCTGA